TCAAGTGAGCTCTACTCTTGGGTATTCAATGTCAATATTATCATCGCCTACATAATTTTATATTACATAAAAATGTCACATGACAACACGTTTAAAAACTTATCACCCGGCCAACACCGGTTCTGTTTTTCTTCAATTTCGTGTGTTATAAATAAAAAACAATCAAACCTAGTCGATCACATAGTTCTCACGATACTTTGTCTTCATAATACGACTTTATTTCACGCTTTATTGATCTAGCAGAACGCAACACTTCACTTCAAGTCACTGCCTCGCTTCTGCCGCGTGTCTGTCTTTCCTTTCCTCAAAAACTATTCTTTGTGGCGGAATGATTTTGTCCACAACTATTCGCCATCACATGTTTTCGGATTAGAAACATTAAGATGTTTATAATTAAGTTTGGAAGGACAAAGTACGACTTGTAAGACTTGAGGTTTTCACAGCGGTGAGTATGAAGATTTCTGTCTTCTGGGTTGTTGCGCTGTGTAATATGGTCGATGTTAACTAACGTTTCAGAGGTCATACTGCCTCCGTCATCAGGGCGAAATCTTAAAAGTGCGGCTTTTTTCAATGTTCTACGCCGGAATTTAAATTATAGTGGCTGTTGCCGTTTCAGTGGATTACATTCAGTAGGCTATAAACCGTCGCTAAGTAAGGAACAAAGCAATAATATGACGCCATACGAAGTATAGGCCTAGGTTTTGTATAAAACATATTATAGTTTCATGCCTTCATGCTTGCTTGCGCTCGAGATGACATCGCAAACGCGCAAATAACGTAGCACGGCTGATTTTACCTCTCCTGTTCTGTAACGGCACGTTTTTGAGGGAAGGAGATTAAAATTACGAAAAGGACAAAGGATAGGAAGAAGTGGGAAGAGGAATAGCGCTGGACTTAAAAATGGGGAGTACGGGAGAAATGAGGGAATGGGATAAAGATAAGAAAGGAATAAAGGACAAGACGGAGGATGACGATACGAAATAAATTATCCCCAGGATTCCAACGGGCTTTCTACAAGTGTACAAACGCTAAGAAGTCAGTAATCCGCATAAAGGCAGCCACTAGATGACTGAAAGTGAGGTTTGATTTTTTAATTGGCCCATTCTTAGATTGTTTTTGCATAAAACTCTAAAAAAAATTCACGCAGTAAATCCATTCCTTTCGGCAGATACTTTCGGTTTAAGCCTAATACACACGAAGCCCAGTGTTCGACTATTTTCGTTCCTTTTCATCTTCATTTTATATTCTGTACACCTTTACCAGATTACCATTTTAAATTGAATTCTTCTGTTATTGTGAAGAGTTCGCATTTACGACACAAACT